ATCAAAGTACAGTAAAATACTAATTCTTAACCTCGCAGTGGAATGTGCAGTAACTAACATTACTGAAAAATGGGGAAATGGGGAAGTTACAAAATGGACATAATCAGCTGTATCACATCATTCTTCTCCCCATGTTTGGTATGACCTGACTGGAGCATCCCTGTGATGCTTAGATGGGTTTGAACTCTTAACTTGTAGGTCGTATCTTCTAGGTCTTGAACTACACATAAGGCACTGAAACCATTTACTCTGGAGACCGTAAAGTTTGCTGCAGAGGGGAAGAGTCATGATCACATGAACAGAACATACTTCCAAGTAACATGATGCATGGCCAGCAGGTTGAGGGAGGTGATTCTCCCCCTCTACTCCACTCTCTTGAGATCTTCCCTGGAGTACTGCATCCAGTTCTGAGCCCACAGCACAAGAAGGATATGGACGTGCTGGAGTGTGTCCAGAAAAGGGCCACGAGGATGATCAGAGGGCTGGAGCACCTCTCCTGTGAAGACAGACTGAGAGAGTTGGGGCTGTTCAGTCTGCAGAAAAGAAGGCTCTGAGGAGACCTTATTGTGGCCTTCCAGTATCTCAAGGGGGCTAAAAGAAAGCTGGTGAGGGGCTTTTTAGGATGTCGGGTAGTGACAGGAGTAGAGGGAATGGATTAAAGCTAGAGATGGATCGGTTCAGATTGCATGTGAGGAAGAAGTTCTTCCCCATGAGGGTGGTGAGACCCTGGCACAGGTTGCCCAGAGAGGTGCTGGAAGCCCCATCCCTGGAAGTTTTTAAGGCCAGGCTGGATGGGGCTCTGAGCAGCCCGCCAGCCCATGGCAGGGGGGTTGGAATTAGATGATCTTTAAGGTCCCTTCCAACCCTGACAATTCTGATTCTATGAGAGGAGGTAGAGCAAAATGAAGGACAAGATGGTGGCTTTTGTTCCTTTCAGCCCAGTGCTGCATAGATAGCAACCTACTTCTCCATTACAGTTACGTAATCATCCCACGTACAATTCTCAGGTAATGCTGGTCAGGATGGATGGACCAAAGAATTTGACAGCTGGAGAAGTGCCATCAGTGAACATGACAAGATGATGCAAAACTGGAGGAAGTCATGGGTAAGAATTTTTGAAACAGGTGTCTCACACAGTGCTTTCTACTTGATAACTACAGTCCCAATTTTATAAACAGCCTGTGCCACTTTTGCAACAGGATGTATTTACATAATAAAGTGATGGGTGTTCCTGTACATGTCATTGTTCTTGACCTTCTCAGCAGTAAAACCTGTTTGAACTATGGCACGTGTTGTGGTTATGCCAGCTTGTTCCTTCAGTCAGTAGTTGTCATCCTGCCCAAAACACTGCATCTGTGTACACTCAGTGTAGTAGATTAATTTCATCACACTTGTAGACTAACTGGATTGCAGAGACTAGTGGACTTCATGAAAGTTCATCAAAGCTACCCTTCCTTTAAGATTAAAAAAAAAAGTCCATAGTTAGCTTTTAATAGTTTTCTCCAACAGAAAAAAGATTACTTTTGATAACTTACATACAATACATACTTGTTGCACGTCAAGTAGGTAGCGTAAGCAACCTTTAAACCTCATTTTAATTTTTAAAGCAGTATTAACACATTACTCTGAACTTTTTCTTCAGGAGAGCTGCAACAAGAAGAATAGCTTCTAATGGACAAAGGAACAAACAGGCTAGAAGTACAAATGTATTCAAGTTAAAGCATTCAGTAATCTTAACATCACAGCATACAAAGAGGTATTTGTGAGTGCTAATGCTGGCATTAAAACTGGTATTCAGGAGAACCACCTGAACCTTGAGGTGGAGGAGGATACCCTTACTGCACCAAAGAATTAAGTTACATGATACAAGAGAGGCCACCCATCCCATCCTGGAACTCTCTCAGGTTTTCTCACGCCAGTTATTTCAGCCTAATGAAGAAAAATCGTGGTCGCAGTAAGACTTGTGCTGCTCAAACAATGTAATAAAATGTTTGGCTTCTGTTTTGAGTGGATTAAGCAAACCAGTTAATTTTGGGCTTCAGGATCTTGGCATATGATTTAGAGATTAATAATAAGATATGGATCACTTTTATTTAAAGGCACTTAAACTCACTCATTTATTTTCTTTTAATGTGTTTACCCTTATACTCAGTTCCTAGTGTTTTGAAGAGCATGCCTTTCTGGTGTCAGCAAGTTCATTTGTTCAAACACATCTCATATGGTAATAAAGTTTCTGCACTGACTAATGCTCTGAACGCAGCGAGATTACAAAGCACACAAGTTAAAGCTGACTCTTTAGTTTTTAGAAATTATTTTTCTAGCTTGAGATAACTGTGGTAGCTTAAAAAAATCCTATGTTGAATGAACACCAAGACTATACCGAGTGAACAACTGCAGACTGCAAATGTGAGGACCTACTTAATCCACAGTGAAAGTTTTCTATTGCACTGCTGTTCAGAATTTTGTTCTTCTGCATCCAATAAAAGCCCGAGGCATAAGTCAAGCTTTCTGTCTTCTCAGTTGTTTTCAACAATCTGGAACCAAGATGCCACCTAAGAATCGCTATAGCTGATTCGTGGGAACAGCTGCTCCTAGCAATAGCAAAAGATGTTCATACTTATCCCTCAGTTATCCTCTAACTGGCAAGATTGACATTAGATTGTTTCCTACAATGAAGAAAACATTCTCCTCACTCTAAGACTTTCCCAAATTACCTTTTTTTTCTTTTTTTTCTTTTTGCTTCTTTTTTTGTTTTCCCAATGCCAGATCACCTTGTGGTCACACATGCAGGGTAAAACCTTTTATACAAAACCCACTTTTCCTGTTTTTTCACACTGGCAATCATAAATCAATGCTGATGCAGAACTTTTTACACCAATATGCATTGGAAATATTAATTGGAATTTTTCTTCCCCATTGTGTTGCTCTTATGACATCTTTTATGGGAAAAAGACAACTATAAAAAAGACTTTTCTTGAATTGCCCCTCTGTTTGTTCAATAGATTTGGAGCAGACTTAACTTGAGCTCTGTAGTGCTGAGTGGGAGGGTAAGACTTTGTAGGACTCAGGTCACAGTTTTAGGTAAGCATTAGCTGAGTTTTGCCTTGTTTCTGCAGCAAAGTACCACAAAAGCAGTAAAAAAAAGGTTGCCAGATTATGTGTTTAGCTCAACTTTCTGGAAAAACTTGTGTGTAACAGAATTCACAACCACAGCTGTGACCCCTTGTAGTGAATTTTTTTGCTATATTCTAAGAACAGGAAATAACACCCTGAGATTTTGAACAATCGGTAATGTTTCCAAAACAACATCTCATACTCTTCTACAGTAAGACAAAACAGAAAATATGGTCAAAAAAACCCCCAGCCGTTAAGGTGATCTTCACCAGCTGGTTCCCATTCTATGCACTGACTAGGTTTAGCAGTTTCAGAGGTTTAGGTGTATGTATAAATAAATCACAGCTTACCTCTGGATCAAGAATATCTGCTGGCTAAAACCATCTTTCATCACGGTGAACTTTCACCTTCAATTTCCATTTAAGATGAGAAGAAACTGATACAAAAAGATGATCATCATAACTAACTAGTGACCAACTGCACATTTCAGCTGAAGGCTGGCTTCCCTTACCAGTATTCTTCCTCAAAACCTTCATTTTAATTATCATTAAGTACCCACCAGAAGAGTTTACTGAAGTCACAACCATACTTTATAGCATCAATATATTTAACAGATTTTATACAATTTACATTCTACAAAATTGTTTGAATTTAGAAATTATTTAAAGTTTTTATGTCACTTCTAACTTCACAAGGCAGCTACTTTCCGAAGTATTGCACTACAAACATTCAGTGTGGTGAAGCACTTAGGTTCCAGAGATGCTGGCACATGGCATCTGCAGCATCTTTCAGAACCGCTGTCAGAAGTTACATGTGCATTCTCTGATTACTTTCTTTAGGCTTGTCCCCTTAGGTTTGCAACTTGTGAACAATGGTATTTATGCAGGACATTCCCACGAAGGTGCTCCACCACTGTTATGAGCACATTTCGTTTGTAAAATTTTATTCCCTATAAGATATAAATTATTCCTACCTTAGGTACAAACTGAGATAGATAGATTGATCAAAAACTTACACATATATACTGATGAAACCCCAAACTGACGGAATGAGGACTCTGTCAGAGAAGGTACAGATAGCAGAGCAGGCTGGCATATTTGCTGGCTGTCAATTTCCTATAACTTCAAAGCAGGACCTATGATAACTAGTCTCAGTAGCAGCAGAAACATCATCATTGTAAATTTAATCTACTTTATAGAATTTCTAAATAGAGCATTTTCACTTCAGGAATTTCAGACATTTGGAGTACATGCTCTCTCCTTTACATCTGCCATATGACTCTAGAAAAGCAGAATATCACACAGAGGAGCTAACTGGAAACTCTGTCATCATAGCCTTCCTGAATTAGTTTCAATCAAGTCGCCTGCCCAAAATTAATTTCTTGCTGACTGGAAGAAATTGACACTGATGCCAGTCTGCCTACCTGAGCAGGGTTATTTAGAATTAAAAAACCAACAACCCCACAATCAAAACAAAGTTGAAGTTCTTCAAACAAGAGTTAAAATCAAAAAGCACCTCCCTCCAAGACCCAACCGTCCGGCTTGTGAAATCTCTTTCCAAATAAAATTATCTTTCCAGCAAGTTCTTTTGGTATATTGTATGACTAACAAATCAATGCTAGTCCAAAACCAAAAATATTAAAGTATGCCAGGCCTGGCCAAGTGGTTCAGGGCTAAGAGAATTTGCTGTTGTCATCTGCTATAGAGGTCAAGCAAATACATAGAATGTAAGTGCCTAATGCGCTACACCATGTATTTTGCTTAAAGGGAATCATGACAGTTTACTTAGCTGACTTCAGGTATTTCTTGAATTATTTTATGTGGCCAGCCTCTTCCTAGGAGTCTAAAATAAAACATAATTAAAAGCCCAATAGGTTGGGTCTGGATTTACTGATGCTCTTCTGAATTCACTGTCACCATGTCAGCAGTTGCACTTTTTTCCAGTTCCAGTGCATATGGGTTATATTCTTCTTCAAGTTTTCTCTTCCAGATTTTAACTAGGGAATATGAGAATTAAAAAAAAAAAAGACAACAAAACAAAAACACAGGTTACTGTATGATACTTGAGGAAAAACTTGAAATGAGAAATCACACTGATTCTCTACTTCCTCCTCAAAGTAAGCGCTGAGACATGTTGGCACGTGGGCATGGTGGCATGTACACCATGTGACATCAGATGATGCACAAAAGAAGGTGAGGCCGCACCTCGAATCCTGTGTTCAGTTTTGGGTCCCTCATGACAAGAAAGACATTGAGGTGCTGGGGCATGTCCAGAGAAGGGCAACAAAGCTGGAGAAGGGTCTAGAGCCCAAGTCTTACAAGGAGCAGCTAAGGAAACTGGGGTTGTTCAGCCTGGAGAAAAGGATGCTCAGGGAGATTTTATGGCTCTTTACAACTACCTGAAAGAACATTGTAGTGAGGCAGGTGTTGGTCTTTGTCCCAACAAGTGACAGCACAAGAGGAAATGGCCTCTGGTTGTGCCAGGGGAGGTTTAGATCAGATATCTGGAAAAATTTCTTCACTGAAATGGTTGTCAAGCATTGGAACAGGCTGCTCAGGGATGTGGTGGGGTCACCATCCCTGGAGCTACTGAAAAGACAGAGAGATGTGGTACTTGGGGACATGGTTTAGTGGTAGACCTGGTATCACTAGTTTAACAATTGGACTCGATAGTCTAAAGGTTTTTTCCAACCTAAGCAACTATATGATTCTAAGTTTTAAATTACCTAGTATCCATGATAATTGTTATTGTCTGGTGACTGTATGAACAGTGGTGGAGAAACGTGTTTCTAGAAGTGAAAAGCCTTTAGAAAACATGAACATTTTTGGACAAGAAGATATATCTCAGACATGCTTCAATACAAAACTTATGTCCACCATGTTACAGAATAGGCAATTCTAGAAAAAAAAATTAGGAGGATTTTTTAACAAATAGAACTAATAAGAAGCTCTGTTAAACCTCTCTTGTCAAAGCCATTAGGACTGCATGCCATCAGTGGATTTCAGAAAGGAATCCTCACCAAGACTTTCTCAGCAAGAGCTGACCCCAGGTTTATAAAATTAGGGAGGCATGAGGAAATCACAGAAAAGCAGAATTCCCCTCCTTACTAACCACTAAAGCGTTAGGTGTCATTCATTTCAGTGAAAATTGTAGAATCGAAGAGCATCTTGACTGAAAACTTAACCAAAACCAAGTCACTAAATACTCACTATAGTTTGGTACATCCTCATCAGAGTCCTTGGAAGATGTTTTACCAATTTCTGCTAAGCCATTTTTTTCACATTCAGTGGTTAAGATGCTGGGTTGGGTTCCCCTTAGTCCTCCTTGAGCTTCTTCCTCTAAAGCTGCTATCATATCTTTGTAAGCCTTCCTGGCCTCTGTCGTGAGCTGTACCATTCTATGAAAATGGTCCTGTGGAAATATAAAATACCATTAGAGCTTAAATGATACAGTGAATTTTAACTTCTCTATGAAAATCTGTAATAAATATGCCTTACTCAGAAAATACATATCCATATATAAAAGTTTAGCAGCCAAATATGTATAAAGCCAGGAAAAACGAACCAATCGTAAGCATTTAAAAAATACCAGTTCTCTTGGGGGGGAAAAAAAATTCTCTTGGGGAAAAAAAAAATTGGAAAGAGATTGGGATGGAGATAAAGTCAGCAAGAGATAGGCAAACTACTTTCTTAAACTGTGCCAAGTGTCTGTAAAATTGTTTTTCTGTATAAGCCACTGACCAGAGATAAAGAGCGTAAGAGTGCAAAACCAAACCAAACAAAACTTTAAAATCAGAGTATTTTTTCTCTCCTTACAAGTAAAAAGTAAAGCTAAACAAAAACATGAACCTACATATTTCGGCTTACCTGAGCCCCATCATAGCTAAAAATTCCCACCACACTCACAGGCACTGCTTTGTTCACACAGCGGCCCAGGGCCTTGCGATTAAGGGCAAAAACGAACGGGATATTCTGTTCACAGGCGCAGTCAATAATGTTGTGTAGAGTGTCATCCAACCCACCTGGAGCAGACAATAGCATTGGCAAAGAATGACACGATTCAAGCTGAACTGTTAAAAGATGGCAAAAAATGTCCCAGGATTATGGGTACCTTTTGAAATTATGAGAGTTTGCAGGGAAAAAATACATGGATTGCAGTAACAGTATTAGATCTCCATTTTTAAAGGAGAATTTGACATTTTTTTCCTTAATAAGCAGTATCCTTAGACCGCTATACTCTGTATTTTTATGTGTAGTGTAGTCTAATCTAATATTAAAAAAAGGCCTAGCTGCTGAGAAATGATTTAAAAGTTAATAGAAAGTAACGACAATAATCACAACAAACTTTAAACTGTCAGTGACAACCTACTGTCCACCTGTGGCCTAAAAGAGACCAATACAGCTGGGCTTTTTGTGGTGGCACAGCCAGCATCAGCAACCTTTATCTTTTCTCAGCTGTGCCGGTGCAATCTTTTGTGCAGCTGCACTGCAAAGCCATAACTAAACACATCCTAGTTTCTGAGAACTGGCCCCACCTCAGATAGTCTTGACTTCGCTCACGCTTTAGCTGCACAGCAGTAAACAGTCTTTAGAAGGCAGACATATTTATACGACTGGGTTTTAAAAGCTACTTGCAGAAGTTTCTCCAAAACCAATTCTGCTGTCCATATACTAAGCCTGCTTTTTTACATTTCTTTCACTAAAAGAACTATTTTTTTAAAAACTTATTTACCCTTTGACTGAATCTTTTCACAGTTAGGAGAGATGATGACACACTTCAGTTTTTTCAGCTTCAGATGTTTCAAAACTTCTCTAAGACCCATAACAAGCCTGCGTTTTATCTTGGCCTTTACTGGGTCTTTCTGATACAAGCGATCTTGGAAACGAACCAGTTCCTTTAAGAGATCTGTCACACAGCTGTCAACTTCTTTACTAAGTACCTGGCTGCAGTAACTGGAAGGAAGAATCAATTAGATGTTAAAAACCCTAAAGTGACAAACATGTAACACGTAAATACATAATATGTAAAATATAAAAAATTCACCTTCTATTCAATGTCCTTTTTTCTATTTGTATTCCAAGTTATATACATGAAAACAAAAAATTTACGTAAGATTTTTTTCAGTGGCTGAGAACTTAAAGTTTTGTTACTTGTGGTATCTGTCTCTCCTATAAACCCTACCAAAAATACATACATGTATGTGCAATAAACCTACATATACAAATACACATTCTTCTATCAAAGCATTTTTCTGAGGGCATTTATTTGAACCTGTATAACTCAATGTACAGCAAAGTAAAAAATTCTAATTTTCTATAAATAACAAGGCTACTTATAACAAAGATGGATATCTGGATCAAATGCCTCCTTCCCAGGTTCCTATTTTTTGTCTGTCACTCTATTTCACTTATCAGACTGCAGCCTTGTAGTGTTCATTAAAAAAAGTTAAAAATGGATGTACTTCATCCTTCAAGTCTTCCATGGGAAAGATCAGGGTTCTAAATTATTTCCCCACCACCACGTTTTACAGGAAAAAACATTCAGTAAAGAAAGGTTCCAAAGAGAAAATCTGAAGATATTTCAAATGCATAGTCAACAGGAAGATGCTAAGTGGCAAATTCACATCAGATTATGAGAAGAGGTTGCAAGATCTACCCTGGATCTTAGACATAGAATTATCCCAAAATTTTATCAACGTTACAAGAGGTTTTATTTACTATTTCCAGTTGATTTCACCAATTCTTAAAGGTAGGTCTACTAAAACATTGAAACCCTAACCTAAAGACATAAAATATTCTAAGCTTTGCTGAATCCTGTAACAGGTAGGACTGAGTTGCCCTACACATATTCAACCCAAACTTTGCCTTCAGTAAAAGAGTGTTGCATAAACAGATATTAAGTAGTTTTCAATGCAATTACAAGTTAAGCTAAAGCTAAAACATGGCATCTGGAAGGTGATGAATGACTGTATCAATATTAACCATTACTGTAATATGAACTGCAAAAAGTAACTGCTAGCCTAGAGTAACTGTTTTAAACTGCCCAGATTGGATCTCTGATCTCTTCACATGTAGTACCAATTACTTCTTCTTTTACAAGCAATAAACATCTATTTAAACAAAACTAAAAGTGTTTGGACTTAATAACCCATAATCCTTCTCTTTATTTCCCTGCCTAGTCACAACATAAAAATATCTGACTAGTCACATTCTTTACATTTTTGCCATTTGGTCTGGCAGCAGAAAACCAAAATATACACTAAAAGTAAGGTGTACTGCTCTTTTTTCTTTAATATTAGGCCGGTACTCCATTTATTTAAAATAAAGCACTTTATTAAAAGCAACTCCTTTACCTTCCTTAGACTGTAATGAATTTCTGATTATTTTTTTTTTTTGTCAAGGAACATAGATTTTGAAGTGAGAATTACAACAATGTACACATTTCTCTGGAAGAAGCTTTGTGTCAGTTTAGAGAAAGACTGAAAAATTATTTAGAACCTAAATGCCAGTTAGTGCTGCACAGAATGCAACTGAAATATCCTGTTTGGAAAATGCCATATTGGTGGTACTGCAGAAAACCAGATAACAGTATAAGCAATACTTACTCTCTAAAATTCCTGCTATGGATTTTTGGAAGATTGGAAGTTTGTTGCTTTGAAGTTACAGAAGAAGTCATAGAACCTTCTGTTGCTTCCTTGGTCCCTGTGTTCTGTGGAGACCCCTCAGCACTTTGCATTACAGGAACAGCTATCATGTAAATAAAGATAATTCAATGAAAAGACAGACCAGAAGCATTGTGAAGAGACTAACTTGTTAAGTATCTGTTGAAGAGTCAATACTTCAGTATTACAAAAGTGTGTGATAGCAGGGGAACAGGTTATACAATTTTCTTTATCTCCTAGTTTTTATTATCCTACCTATTTAATACAGATTGCCAGAGAGATGCAGGCACTCTCATTATGACATAATAAATCCATAAGGCATAGAAGTGTGGAACAGTAATCAGAATTTGAACTACTCAACCACACTATCAGCTGTGCTTCACTTTAAACTCTAGGTAAGCCGAAGCTGAATCTCAGAAAATTCTAAAGTTACAGTTTTCATTTGGCAGTATTTGGTACACATTTTTAGAAAGCACTCTCAAATCTCCACCTACATACTCTAATATAGCCTTACACCGAACAATACCTGCGTGACTATCCTGTAAAAGCATTTCATCTTCAGTAATATTTTCTGCAGACTGACAAATATTATTTTCATCTTTAGGTACCGCTGTCTGTTCTAACAGATGTTGTTGTTTTCGTTGTTCTCTTTCTTTCAGAATAATCTAAAAAACAAACCAACACAAAAAACCAAATTAATCCAAAGATACACAGCAGTTCATCTTATCAAGTGCTTACATACAGACCATTCATAAAAAAGTTTTGCACTATCATTCAAAGTTACAACATTTTTAATTTTTTTATTTAATTTACACATAAAGAAACGGAAAGATATTCCCTAAATCTACATAGAAAAGGACTTTTTCCTTGATTAGCAGTGTCTGGGTGAAGAAAATACTGACTAGGCATCAAGGGCAGAACTAAAGTTAAAGTGACAAATTGCTTCAATGCAGAGAAGCAGGTGAAAAGGTCTCCCTCTTTACCTTTCCTCTTAAGACCATCCATCTGCAGTCCAACACTCAAGTACATATATCTGTGTTACTCTTTATATTACCCTATTAAAACTTGAGTCAGTCTGATCTCTGTCTCTGAATTTGCTGCCTGAAGAAAAAGATAAATTACCACGGACAACTAAGCCATGTGGTACATGGAAAGAAGGAAAGTAGGAGATGTGGTAGATCCAAACATGCTACCGCAGTTTCCTGAAACACATCTTCCTTCCTTGCTTTCATAGCTGCCAAGAAGCAGTTAAAGAAGCAGCTATTGTATATATGAGCACCAGTTCAGCTAATCTACCCAAAATTTGTAATTAATTACACCACAGAATCTATTTGCAAATGCAAATTTCTCCATTTGCTTTTGTCAAAGATGAACAAAGAACAAAAATAAATTCCCTACCTATCAGAACACAGACATGACGCTAACAAAAAAATTTTTGTCTTCTCAAACCTACATTGGGAAATAGATGGCATGAAGACAGAACAGCCAAAAACACAGTAAGTAGTATCACGCCCCAGAGTTTTTTACATATGTGTTATACATTAAATATGCTATATTGTACAGTTCTCAAATTCAGTGACTTCCTTCACTAGCTCTGTACGAATTGTTCTAGACCAAAAAGTGACCTAGGAATGGAGTGACGTCTCAAAACCCTCTATATAAAAGACATGACAGAAAGCAATGTGAATGGCAAAGAGGGAAGATAAAAGAGTAATCAGCGGCTGGATCTAACAGTAGTTGCTGCAGAATCAGCCACGGTTCTGGCGTGTAAGTGCACAGAAATGTTAAATACTATCTTTGTTGGATCCACTCTCCCCAGTCCTGCAAATAAGTATACCTTGTCCAAACCAAGTAATATTTCTTGGGGTGTTCCCCTGTACCAACAACGTGTGGGCACTTTCGTGGTGGTACTTTTTCAGCTACCAAGTTATTTATTTGAGAAAACATATTTTGGGGAAATTTGTATATGCTATTTAGTACGATACCTCTCTTCTGAGGAAACACAAAGCTGAATTTAGACATGTGGATGCTGAGACACATATCTCCGTACCAGAAGGTGTAAAAGACTCACAGAGTGAAACTAAATTTACATTGGCCTATATTACACTTTTTTAGGTAAAAATACAAGCACCTTTTTAAGAGGCGTTGGTCTCTTTGCTTTAGGGACTTCTCTCTGTTTCCCTTTCTTTACCAAAGGAGCACTGGAATCCAAAGGGTTATGAGGCATCTTTTCTTGGTTTAACCGGTGACTTTTTGTGGCTGTAGCAGGTTCTTTAGAAAGCAATGGTATGGCACCACCAACTGAGATAAAAACACCAAAAACAGTCTGCATCAGACAACAATAAAACACCCAAACATGTCTCCAATGCAATCTTAATGTCTGGATGTGTTGTGTTGCTAGTAAGAAGTATCTGTAGGCAATCCTGTCTTATTAAACAATGTTGCTTAGTAAAGATACTCCTCTCAAAAGACTGACACATCCTCTACTTTTATTACACAACTAGAATCACAAGCTCTGACCCTTAACTCTCAAAAGCAGAATTTTCAAAACACTGCACTCCAAGCTACCTTCAACACCATGCCATGCTGGCTTAGTCAAACTTCACGAATCACCACGTTTCACGGTAACAGCATTTCAGCCTCCATAGATTCTGTACTGCGTTAAGATAAATATTGAGTTGCAGTATTACAGATTTTAGATTTAACTGCCGTAAGTAATTAGGAGCACTTAGTTACACCTTAATGAAGTTGGATGAAGTTCATCGGCAGATGGGTAATGAGTAGTGCAAAGCTGCAGCTAAGTTTCTTTGGCACAGCCAGCACAGCTCTTGGGAGATGTCTACTTTTCTTGCATTTTGCAGAGGGTTTAGAGCACAGAAGCTTTAAATGACTGGCCAAGTAACTGAACTTGGACCTCACACCTTAAAAATGACTCTCCCTTTCCAACTCAGTATCAGTAGGAATTGCTGTATCCTGTGAGAGCACTTCATCACACTTCAGTTACCTGCAACATAAACCAGGTTACATTAGCAAGTCTATGAAGAGGGCGATTAGCCGAATGAGCTTGCCTTGGTGCCTCAAGCAACTTCTCTCCCCTAAAAAGCACCCAAAGATTCTGGCAGCTTGTCTTAAGACATCTTCATTTACTGCTTCCAAAGTATTTATATACTAATCCTCTAACACTGCATACATTATTATCAGCATAAACAATTTACTTCATAAAACTGCCACACCACAACCTCTCTTTTCTGCCTCTGTATAACAAAGGCAAATTGAGAACGCTGCCAAGAACACTGTGCAGCACACTGGCATAGGCGGCTGCAAAAAATTGGAGCTGGATTTGAAGCAGTATGTAAATTATACATCTGGCAGACACATGGCATCTCCTTCACTGTGTACATCACTTCTTCATTTCCAATTCACAGAGCTTGTGTTCCTGAACTTGATGGTTTAACACTTTGTGTCATTTTTGCATGATTGATGCATTTCCAAAATGCAATTTAAATTCAAATAATTACTGCTTCACTATGCTCTTCCATCCATAAATTATTTACCAAATGAAGTAGTATAGTAAATGGAATAAAATACATTTGCCTAGAGTCACACTCCCCACCCTTCTTGCTCACCGTGCTTCTCTTTTCTTTTAGAGGGTCAGCACACTGCCACCTCACAAACTAAAGTTACATTTTAGTACACACCAATTTAATGGGTGCACTGAATGTTAAAAAAAAGTATAAGGCTGAGGCAACATCTGCCTTATACTTCCAGGTTACCAACACGACACATCAGTTCCTCTTCTGCAACAGATTCAGACACAGGCAAATTAATATTAGAAAAAAGGTATCGTGACTCATGTATTTGTGCTCCACCATCTACTCACCAATCCATGCACTGTACAACTTTATAGAAACAAAACCACTTATTAGCACCTCTGCAGCGCTGAGTTGGACTAACTCCAATGAAAAAAAAGAGACTCCAGAAAAAGAATTTTTAAAAGCACTGTACAAGTTCTCTCAGCGAAGGAAACTCCCATTGATGCTTGGTATTTTGAGCTTTTTATTTAAAATGTCAGCTATCATACTAAACACTGTGAGATGAATTCTCTTTTGATCAGCTCTGTTTCTGAAATAATTTTTAAAAAATCTTCACTGAAATAAGGAGAGAAATTTTATCATCACTAAATTTGGGCAAACATAGTTTCACAGTTTCAAAGAATGGCCTAGGCTGGAAGGGACCTCAGAGATCATTTTAATCCAGCCTCCCTGTCACCAGGGATGCCTCTCAGGCAACATCACGCTTCCTTTTGCAAAACAGACTGCCTAATGTAGCCAAGAATAAATTTTGACCTACAGTGAAAAAGACACTGAGCTATTTGTTTCTGCTTCCTG